CTATGGGGGTGTTGGATGTGTTATTGGGGGTTCTGGACCCCCCCCAAAAAATAAAATATAATAGAACTGCCTATATATTGTCACATCACTACAAAATATAATAGAACTGCCTATATATATATGATGCGTCCAGACACCAGAATGTTCACTGACGTTCTTGGGTCTTTGGGCTGCTGACTGGACTGGACAGACTGAACTAGACAAACTGAACTTGCTAACATACTGGGCCTACAGAAGTAAATTCGGCCTACCTAAGTATTGCATTGGGACTTATGGTACATGGGACTTTGGAACTTTGGGACCTTGGAACCTTGGTACCTGGGGACCTTAGGACCTTGGGACTGGGACAGGGACAGGACATTGGTACTCGTGACTTGTGAAATCCCAATGCAAACAGCATCCCAGATAGTTGCCCTGTATGGGAACTCTCGGAGGGTGAGCGCAACAGCTGATTCTGGGGTCCTCAGTTTTCAGATTTCATGTTGTACATACTGAACTATAGACTCAAGTCGAGTGTACTCTTACATTTTCTAGAATTCTTTGTTTCCTCTGCGGATGCAGAACCCCTTTTCCGTAGGAGCTTGTAATGTTCTCAGAGAACTCTGAGCTGCGGGGGGAGCGGACTGTTGGGATTGCTGGATCTGAACCTGCAACCTGCCCAACTATTTTTTTGCTGTATGTCAAGTTTCCGTTGTTTTTGTTCTTGCCAGGATATGAACATGGAACTGAACCAAGCTGGGCCACCTGGAAAGGCAAAACAAACCCATCCACAGCCTTGGCCTTCGTGACAGCTGCACAGCTGAAGGGCCCAACAGCAACTGGATAGTAAGGATGGCTATCCACAACATCAGCCACCCAGGGTCATCAACAACACCTGTGAGGTCCATGTGTCGGTCAAATAACGTGTACTAAAACTGTAATACACTCTTAAAAAAAACGAAGCCCTCACCCAGTCCCGATCGCCCACGTCCGCACCCAAAAAAAAACAAAAAGGGCCCTGAAACAAAAACCGCCAAAACAATTTTGGGGGCTCGGCCTTCCGGACCGTCGTCTGGACTCCGGACTGAATCTAGACGGTCTGGACAGTGGTCTGGACGTCCGGATCGTAGCCATGGTGTACAGTCTCTGCGGGAGGACCTTTTTGGCTGGTAGTTTCAGGCTTTTCTTTTGGTATGCAGACACTGTAGGCCTATGGAAGGGAAGTAGCTGCTCCTCAAAAGTGACAAGTTGGGGCAAACAAACTCGTTCGGAATTCATTTGTCATATTTTTGCTTCACGGTGAGACTAAAAAAAGACTGCTTGAGGAGAGAGAGAGAACGTCCGCACCCAAAAAAAAACAAAAAGGGCCCTGAAACAAAAACCGCCAAAACAATTTTGGGGGCTCGGCCTTCCGGACCGTCGTCTGGACTCCRGACTGAATCTAGACGGTCTGGACAGTGGTCTGGACGTCCGGATCGTAGCCATGGTGTACAGTCTCTGCGGGAGGACCTTTTTGGCTGGTAGTTTCAGGCTTTTCTTTTGGTATGCAGACACTGTAGGCCTAGGGAAGGGAAGTAGCTGCTCCTCAAAAGTGACAAGTTGGGGCAAACAAACTCGTTCGGAATTCATTTGTCATATTTTTGCTTCACGGTGAGACTAAAAAAAGACTGCTTGAGGAGAGAGAGAGAACGTCCGCACCCAAAAAAAAACAAAAAGGGCCCTGAAACAAAAACCGCCAAAACAATTTTGGGGGCTCGGCCTTCCGGACCGTCGTCTGGACTCCGGACTGAATCTAGACGGTCTGGACAGTGGTCTGGACGTCCGGATCGTAGCCATGGTGTACAGTCTCTGCGGGAGGACCTTTTTGGCTGGTAGTTTCAGGCTTTTCTTTTGGTATGCAGACACTGTAGGCCTAAGGAAGGGAAGTAGCTGCTCCTCAAAAGTGACAAGTTGGGGCAAACAAACTCGTTCGGAATTCATTTGTCATATTTTTGCTTCTCGGTGAGACTAAAAAAAGACTGCTTGAGGAGAGAGCGAAAATGCAGCTATAGCCAGTGAGAACTTGCTGTTCTCTGGATGGTTTCTTGAGCCGATTGCCGCATGCATGCTGCTCAGGGAGGCAGGGTCTTCAATTCTTCTTCATCACCTTTTTGTGGTCTCATCAACTATTTTGGATGTGAGAATTGTGTGACTGTGGAATGATGATTTTCTGTGGAGTTGCAATAAAGTTGATGATGTGATCTCATCTCTCAGTGAAGTGTGTCAGTGAGATGATGCGTTGAAGTACTTGGGATTCTGCTGGATTTTCTTAACACTCAACCTCAATCTTCCTCCGTACAACAGTTATGGCGCTTGGCGCCCTACAGTAGCTATGGCTATTGTCTCTCTCCTGGCTGGCGCTGCCTTTCTTCTTCTTCCCTTGCGCCACACTCTCCTGCCTCTTCTTGTGCTAAATGGAGCTGCGCTCCAGCTTCCCTTCAGCAGTGCAAGGCAGAATGAATGAGCCGACTGGGTCACGCAACTCTTTTGTAGTGTTGAGCAGCATTGGCGTGCTTCAGTTTGCTTCCTCGTGTGGCTGAGATTTCCCGATCTGAATGACCGAGATTTGCTGTCGGCCAGTTTGTGCCTGAACCCATTAGGCCGTGGAAACTTCTGGAAGAATGCAGACAGCATTTGATGTCATCAGATGTGTGGCCGTGGTTGACTCCTAAGAAATTTCCTGGGTGACCTGGCCGCGCAACGACCAGGGAAGGTCCCAGCAAAAAAGAAAAACAAGAAAAAAAATTCGGAAATATGTTATGCAGAAAAAAACTTTTTTTTTTTTTTTTGGCCCGGCCCTGCAAGTGGTCCTGGGCCATTCTGGTAGCCTAGCTGTTGACTGCTTTTCCCGAGTTGGTCCTGACTCCTGATTTCCCTAAAGTCAACGACCTCTTCCTGGGGGCATGGTTTCCCTCTTTTGGTCCTTGACCCTGTATCGAAGGACTTTTCTGACACCCTTCTGGGGCAGGAGACGTGACTTTTGACTCCTGAATCCGGACTATCGCCAAAAGTTACCAGTACCCTTGGATTGTCGGTGCGGATTCTGACTGCGTTCTTTGCACCTCCATTTCCTGCATTTTCTTGTCTTTGCTGTCTGTCCCTCCATCCCTGGAATGACTGTTTCCCACATAGCTTGTTAGAATGCAATGAAGGAAAGAGTGATTGTCCATTATCTTGCCCTTGTCGATCCTTGCATACGCAAGTAATGTGCCATTCCATCCATTTTCTCTGGTGGTCATGTTGGAGTGTGATGATTACTTTGTAATAAAGTTGGTATAGCCCTTGCGGTTGTCAATACCGAATTCATTATCCGACAGTAACATACATGAACAGATGGAGAAGGATTCAAATTTCAAACCCCCGATATTTTGTAATATGTCAGTTTTCAAGACTGATACCTTCAACCACCCAGGCATCTTTCCCAAGCAAAGACGCCCTTGTAGTAACAATATAAAGGATGTACAAATGTGTTCAATGTTATGCCAGTGTCTTGTGTCAATATAAAGTTATAAACATGATGTATTTGCCAATTAAATAGTAGTGCTGATTTGGGTTGGTAAACCCAAAACATTAGGTTGCTACTCATATATAGAGTGTGATTCAATGCGGCGCATTGACGTGGAAGCACTGCTACACTGAACTGCGACCCACGGTGGTGTGATGACATTATTGAATGATATAGACCGTATAGCAGGGCTGGTCTCCGGATGGACTGGGGACCCCTACCCCATCCGTTGTCCTCCCGGTTGGACCGGCCGGTGGCCCGGTCCGGTTCCCACCCGGTTGCCCCCAGCGCATTTTCGCTGGGGCGTGAATTTTTTTTTTTGCCGGCGCATATGTGTTCCCGAGGCCTCGTGGGGGTTGGCCCTGCCCCGCAATTTCGAAACCGGGTCCTGTAGGCCCGGATTTTTCAAGTCAAAAAAGTGGCCAATCTTGGCCGCGGATCGTCGCAGATCAGCGGCAAAGATCGGGCAGGACCCCATTTCTTAAGAAAAACGGGCAGAGGATATCCGCCGCTGATCAGCAGCGGAGAACCGCCACACATTTTTCTTAAGATGTGGGTCGGGTAGGCCCCTTCTCCAATATGTGATTTTGTGGTCCTACGGACCAGTTACCATTGGCAATATCTGATGCTCTTTCACCCTCAGCCACGAGGGGAACACTATGCTTGTGATGAGGCTCTGCTGAGATTATATCCTTCTGCAACTTGCCTGCCATCTGCGGAAAAAGTTATGGGTTCGGATTTTGGAATCGTGATGCTGAGCCGTCCGAGGTGCAAGCCCGAGAATGGACCTAAGCTATATTCTTCTCTCTATCTATCTCGAATGGACCTTGCTCCACTACATGTATCTGGACAGACTGCCAGGCAAGATACTTCTGGACTGATAACTCACCTTATGTAGAAACCAACAAACAGAAAACGCTCTGCCTCCACAAGCTGAAAGCTGGAACCATAACTCTTCTGCTGCCGAGTTATACTCTGGAAGAGCTATAACTTCTGGCACGGACCTCCTCTCATCATATCTGGTTCAGCTCGTGGGGTATCAAATGACACACTCCACGAAGTGCTCCAGCCACGGGGGGGTTGGATAAGTGAACTTGCTTACTTGACCCCTCCCCGTGGAAGCCATAGTTGCCTGACTATGTCAATAATAACCCCCTGCCCCCCTCTGGAAGCCCCCTGAAAAATATTGCACCTTGAAAATTTTATTGCGGATTCCGACAGCTCTTGAAGAGCGCATTCGGAATCTGCCGAAAAAAAATAAAAAATAAAAAAATTCGGGCACTTTGTTTTCAAAACCGGTTTCCAGGTTCACCCCCCCTGGGCTGGCCCGGCTCCGGTTGGACCGGGGTAGCTCAACCGGCTGGTTCGCGGCCCAGCACTGCCGTATAGGTAATAGGAATGTGGGACTGGGATGCAATATATTGCAGAGTGATATGATGTCATGCGACATGATGTGATGTGATGTTTTGTGATGTTTTGTGATGCAATGTTGTGTGAAGTGAGCTGGAAAGAAGAGTAAGCCAGCCTGAGTGTGTGTGTGTGTGTGTGTGTGTGTGTGAGAGAGAGAGAGAGAGAGAGAGAGAGAGAGAGAGAGAGAGAGAGAGAGAGAGAGAGAGAG